TTTCCACCAACACTTCTGCCAGCCCTGGATCGTGGGACAGAGTGGCTTCAGTCAGCATGCAGGAGGCAGGGTTTGTTCTAAGATTTGGAATGTGTCCTCTTAGAAACATGCTCAAATGCATCTTTCCTGAAGAACTCAGAAGATGAAGCCAGAAACTGTGGTGATGCTGTCTTTCTGAGGTAGAATATACTAAAAATCCAAGTTCAAAGGCTTTATTATTATTACTATTATTATTACTATTATTTTATTCTACTTCTGTCTAGAGCAAAAGAATGCAAAATAAATGTCATTCCTGGAGAATTAGGTAAGCGTGCCATGTGTTGGAGCAGCCCAGGCAGTGAGTCCAGTGTCCTTTAGGAGATGGTCAGTCCGTAGGCGCTCAGGGAGGCCCTGAGGCACTGCCCTACACTGGGCCTGGAGTCTGCACCTTATAGAGCTCATGCCAGGAGGTGACGGCACTTCTACCCTACAGCCACACAGACTCACAGCCAGAGCTCCAGGCCAGAGCACCCGGATACTAAGTTTTCCCTCCAAACTCTCCCTGCCAACCCTCATGAGTAGGAGTTGTAGCTCCCAGATTTTCTGCCACAGCTGTGATTTCAAACATCCCGCTCTGCTCTTTTCATAAACGCATTCCTCCTGTCAGCCATGTGGCTCAGATTTTTGTTTGGAAAACACAGTCACCATCACAGCCTCATGGTGCTTCCTTCATATGTCCGTGGGGGGATTGACAGATGGCAGGTTCCCTCAACTTGTGGGGTGGGGTCACGCAGCACGCCACTTTGTTGGGTGTTCCGCAGCTAGGCCATCAGCAAGTGGGCTGGCTTTCACTCTTTAGCTGGGTTCAGGGGGCCAGCTGCTGTAGGATAGTTAGAACCTATGTCCCTGTGGTGGTTGATTAGGTATCACCTTGGCTAGGTTATGGTGCCCAGGTGTTTGGTCAAATACAACTCTGGGTGTTGCTGTGAAGATCTTTTTCAATGCTGTTAATATTTACATCAGTAGACTCTGAGCAAAGCACATGACCCTCCAGAAATTGGACAGGCCTCATACCAGAAATTGGACAGGCCTCGTACCAGCAACTGAACAGGCCTCGTACCAGCAACTGAAGGCCTCATGAACAGACTGAGGTTCCCCAAAGAAGGAACACTGCCTCCAAGAAGCCCTCAGGCCCAAGGATGTGCTGCCAGCTCCTTTTGGGAATTTCCAGCCTCAGGTCTGCAAATTTCAGACCTTCCAGATCCGTGATCATGTAAGCCATGTAAGGGCACACACACGTGCACACAATCACATGCACACGTACATGCACACACACACATGCACATACACATGTACAGACATGCACACACACACACACACACACACACACACACACACACTTACTTCCAATTGGTTCTGTCTCTTTGGAAAACCTGGAATCCCTGACTAATACAATAACCAGTTCCTGCTAGGACACTTGTATTTTTATGTGGACTCACAGAGGACAGCCCCAGGCAAACAAAGATATAAGCATCGCATCTTCCTGTTCTTGGCCTCTCCCCTTACTATTTTATTCTTTGCAAATTTTTCAAAACAATAAGATCAGATGTCTTTTTCTCAGATCTGGGACTTTTGTCGGCAGTGCAGAATTGTTTGAGGGTGTGGGCACTTCAGGCTCCTAAAGTGGCCAAGCAAAGTTTTAGGAGAATGACACTATCTCATCAGTTAGCTGTGATCTCAGCCACCTCCACAGAGCCAACAAATGTAGTTGCCAAGGGACAAATCTGCTTCCTCTTTGAGATGATGGACTTTTTGGAGGATATGGTGGAAGGTATGGGTAATGTGCCCCAGAAAAATACACATTCCCATTCCGTGAGGAAAGCCACATGTTCTAGGTGAAGAAGGCTCACAGGCCGGGGAAAGCGCTACAGGCTAGCCCACCTGTCCACGGCCACAGTGAAAACAAGAAAGAACAACCGGGGCAGGGATTGTGCAACAGCCAGTCAACCAGCATTATCAGGTCATCTACTGCATGCTGAGTGCTGGCAGAAAGGGCAGCCCAAGCTCAGGCCCTAGGAGAAAATGGAAGAACCAGGAAATCTCAGCTCTTCTGTCTGGAAGGTTCTTAATAGAGTGGCTAATCTCTTGAGCCTCACATACACAGTTACTGTCCCATGAGAAGATGCAGAAAGAGTCTCCACAGAACTCTCCACAATACTGCTGCAGGGTTAAGTCTGCAAACACGGCCTTGGAATGCTCCTTCCCTGACGGTCTACACAATTGCTTTCCAAAGGCAGAGCAGGACCCTGGACCTCATCTCCACGCAATCAAATGGGCATAAGAGGAAGAGCAGCATCGAAGTGCAAAAGCACCCACAGCTCAAGAATCAGGGTGCAGGCATGAGAACCGAGGCCCCTCCAGATTCTGACACAGCCAGCGGCAAGAACTGGGAGCAGACCACACCCTGGTGCTGAAGTTCTGAGAGGGAGTCCAGGAGGCCTGCTAAGGAGGAGGGGCAAAGTGACAGGGAAGGAAACATTGGAGAGGTGGGCTGAGACAGAAGCAGGATAAGACTCCTCCACCCACATCCAGTGACCTGCAGCCCCACTCAGTAGGTCTTCCATTTCCCTGGAGATCCACAGTCAGACACGAGGACCCATTTTTCTTAAATTGCAATCTTGTCTGAGATACTTTAGCGTATGTGTTGCCAAAGCAAGCGCTGTCTGAGGTATTTTCAAGGTAATAAATGGACTTACCTATACATCAATAGTTTCAAAAAGGGGACAAGGAGACAAGAGACAGAGGGAGGAAGGAAAAAAGAAAAGAAAGGAGAGAGGGAGGCAAGGAGAAGAAGAAGGAAGGAGGGGGAAGACCATTCAGCAAAATCTTCTATAGATCACGTATTTAGTTTATTTAGCTTCAAAGTGCTCAAGTCTGGCTATTCTCCCCTTTGTTTCCCAAGTAGCTCGCGGGATGCCCAAACACCAGAGTTACCTCTTCTTCCCTGGTGTTTAGAATAGTCAGATGAGAGGTGACAGGAAGAGGTAAATCAAACTTTAAGAGAAAGTCATTAAGTTGGTTGTCCCGGAAAAAGTCAAAGATCTATAACTGCATCTCGGGAAGCATAAAACAATTCAAAATTCTCAGCAAGATTTCAAATACCACAAGGTATTTGCAGAGCCTCTTGCTCATGTCTCAAGTAATCACTTCCTCCCCAGCTAGTGCTGAGGGGAGTAGAGGCCAGGCGGAAAACTGGGGTGATCTCCAAATCCCGCCCTACCCCTAGCCACTCATTCAGTTGGCTTTCTTCCTTCTCCTTCTAGGTACACAGCTTGGGATCATAGCCAAGACTAGCACTCAGTCCTCTGTTGACTGCCTAGAGCCCTCAAGTCTGTGAAACTAGTTTGGTGAGATCATAGTGCCAGGAGGATAAGAATCAGAAAAGACAAGTGTCAGAGTGACGGAGGCTATAAGAAAAGGTGACCCGGATACTGTCTGAGAATAGAAAGCAATCAATGATGCTCGATACATATCACCTTTATCCTTCCATCTTCCTATTGTGGGGTGACAGATGTTCAGGAACCTCATCAGACTCAACCCAGACAAGCAAATCATGCAGTCGAGATCAACCATAGAATCAGTGGGACCCAAATTAAAAGTGAAGTGTGCAACCTTCGGTTCAAAAAGGATTACGGATTTTATGACAGCCATGCTAGGGCATTAAATGGAGCCAAGACCCTTCTGAGCTCCAGGCCTGTTCACACGTCTAGGTGGTTTGCCCACGAGGCTGGCCCCATCTGTCATTCTGGTAGAGTGGGGTGACTTTCAGACCTACGTGCAGTGGTCGGAAGTCTTGCTACCTGCTTTCAAATGCATGGGTCCCTCAGGACTGCCCTCCCTTGCACGTCATTCTTGAGGTATCCAGCTGGGTATGTGAGCCCCCTCAATGCTGTCACCCAGAGGGTTCCAAGGTTAATGGGCTTGGGGACAAAGGAGGGGCAGTAATGGAGATGCCCCGGAACACAGCAGCAAAATTGGTTCTCCCAGCCCAGCGTTTGTGTTCACAGTCATCTCCAGGTTCCCAGGCAGGAATTCCTCATAGGGTGCAAGCAGAAGCCCCCAGGGACCCTGAGGACAGACCTCAGTGGACCCAGACCTCAGTGGCACCTCAGTGGACAGACCTCAGTGGACCCAGACCTCAGTGGCACCTGGTCGAAGTCCCAAATGCTCAGGACAGAGCCAAGCCCAGGAGGTGGTAACCAGCAAGGTCAGGTGCTCTAGGTTACTTGCAAGATGGTGACTGCAGCAGGGGTTCCTGGAGGGCTGAGGGAGAACAGGGCAGCTGGCAAATCCTCCCGGGAGCCTCGGGAGAGGGTGAACTTCCCTGCACCGTGCCCCAGGTTTCCTACAGAGGTGCTGTTGGCCCTACCTAAGCTATTCTGAAGACAGAGGCAGGGGCACTCTGTGGCCAGGGCCGTGGACCACTGGGGCCAGCTTCGGAGAGACCCAGGCACAGGCAGCCACACATCTACTCTGCCTTGGCATCTGAGGAGGCCAAGGAGCCCAGTTTACGTTTCACTCCCAGGGAGCAGGCTGCTTTCAAGGAATTTTAAACTCCTTGGACCCTGGCAGGGTCAGAAGCCAGCAGGGACGAACCCACTTAGCCTCCAAAGCAGGAGCTAAACTTTCGGGGCTTCCTCTGCCTCAGAAAAAAGGCTCCGAGGGACTTCTCAGGTATCTAATCCCCCTGGCCAGCTCATTTCACTCAGAGAGAAAGGCCCCCTTCCACCAGATCACAAATCTAAGATTGAATTTCTCCCAGCCAGACTCTCAGAGGGAAGGTGAGTCATGCCTGCGACCTGTACACAGGACCTGGTCTGGCAGGAGACCTCAGCAGGAGCTGCACTCTATGCCAGGGAGGCAGCTAGCCAGGCAAGGGCAGGAGGAGGTCCTGCCAGCATGTGGAGAGGTGGGGCTGGCCTAGGGCCACATCCCCCCGCCCACCCGCAAGGCCGACTCACTCGGGAGTGTTGATCCAGATGATATCCAGGTGGCAGTAGTAGACACACTCCTTGTCCTTGTAAGTGAAGCACGTGCAGCGCCGGACACGGTGGTGCAAAGAGCCCCGCTCAGCGGCCTGCTCCTGTCCAGACTTCCCGGGACTCGGGCCCTGTGTCGCTGCTGGGGGCCCAGTCTCCCCGCTGGGGCCAGGCAAAGTCTCTTCGTGGTCCCCCTCAGATCTGGCTGCAGGAGGGCCCCAAGGCAGGTTGGTCTTGCCAGAGCCCCCAGTCTGAGGGCGCGGCACAAGCCCTGCAAGAGGCACATTGAGGGGCTCCTGAGCTGCTAGGACAGAAACTCAACACCCGTCACCCCTAAACACCAGGGGAGGGTAACACAATTCCGCGAAGTGTGCATGCGCTGTAAGCGCCCCAAGCTGTGGTCAACGATCTGTTTGCAAGCTATGCGCATACTTTGTGAAGAGCCTGCAAACTGTTTCCGCTCTCTGCAAAGTCTGCAAGCTATTCGCCCTGGTTGAATTCTTGCACGCGCTTGGCACTTTCTGAGAACTCTGTGAGCATTCTGCACGGTTTCTGAATAGTTTGCAAACTTTCTGAGAAGATCCGAACTTCTTGAAAACTTCACCGGGTAGCCAGGGCTGCAAGCCCCAGGGCCCGTGGCGTCGTCCTCGGGGTCCTCTCCTGCCGCCTCCCGCCCGCCCCGCTGCAGCGCCCAGGCAAGTTAGCTCCCCACGCGGACCGCGCCCCGGCCCCAGCTCCTTTGTGCGCTGCTCGCTCCGGGAGAGGCCGCCGCGCCGCCCGCTTACCTGCGGTTGAGGTCACTGTGAGCCCGAAAAGGAGCCACAGTCCCGGCTCCATGAACCCCGATGGGGCGCGGGTGCCCAGGCCAGAGGACGGCCGCCTGTGGCCGCGGGAGGGCACGGGGCCGCGCGCAGCCTTCGAGTCCGGCCGCTCCAGCTGTGTCCCGGGCTCCAGCCTAGAGTTGGCCGCGGCGGTCGCAAACTTTCAGAGCGCGCTGCCCATCCCCGCGCAGGGCTGGACGGCTGTGGGCTCCGGCTTTTCTGGTTCCCGCACCACCCCCTTCGCCTCCCCGCCCCCGGAGGGGCTGGAGCCGCCGTGCTGGGCCTTTGAACCCTTGGAGCACCGGGGGTCGCCTCCCAGACGCCGGTGGGGGAGCCGGCCGAAGCGCAGCGCCCGGAGCGCACCCTGGACAGCGAGGGGCGGGGGCGGTGGGGAGAGGGAGGAGGGAGGGCGAGCCGGGAGGAGAGGGGTAAGAAGGGGGTGGGAAGGGGGGTGGGGCCTGGGACAGCTGCGGAGGGCCCGCGCCCGCGTGCACACACGCGTGCACTTACACTTGCATGCACACTCGCAGGGCCCCACCAGCTTGCTGCCGCAGGACCCACAGCCCCAAGCAGCTGCCCGCACCCCAGGAGCCAGAAGATGATTAAAAGGCCGCGCTAGGGGCTGTTACCCTTTATCTCGGGGTCTAAGGGAAAGAACCATTTCTCAATGTTCATCTAATGACACCTTGCCCTTGCACGGGGCCTGTTTGACAAGGCGCTGGCGTACTTTACACTCGTGACTCACGGGCACCGCAGTCGGTCCCTGGCTCCCAGCCCACGGCAGGAGTTAGGCGGCTAGGTGCGGCAGTGGTCGGCGGCGCAGAGTCACAAGGATGGGGTGAAGTAGCGGTCCTGGGGACTCCCTCTTCTTCACCGAACCTTCGCGGCCCCGATTCAACAACTGGCCCCACGGGAGCCCCTAGGCACACGGCCTCTCTGGTTCTGTGTGAAGGCTTTTGCACCTAGGTGTACATCACAGCTATAGGACCCCAAGACCACCGGTCTCTCCTCATGTCTCAAGACATCTGTGGCAGACCGAAATTTGCAAATCCTTGGACTCTCTTCTCCTAAAAAGGTGGGGTACGATTTATCTCTGCACTGAACCCCCCTACCCCCCAGCCAGCCCTAATGTCTTCCTCTGTAAACTGGAAGGCAGCAGAGAGGACTCAAGAAACCTCTGAGGAACTGCGTAGAATGTGCTAGGACTTCCATCCCGCACTGGTTGGCTGGGGATGCTTGTTCTCCCAACGTGCTAACCCTGCTGCTAGGAAATCCAAAACCCCCCAGGTGGAGAAGCCCACAAGGGGAGAAACCGAGGCCTGCAGCCAACAGCCAGTGTCAGCCACAGGCCTGGGAAGGAATAAGAGGACCCAGGCTTCCAGACTTTAAGCATTCCGACTGAGGATTATTTTGCTTGGGTTACTATAACAAAACACCACAAGCCAGGTGGCTTATACACAATAGAAAATTTTTTTCTTGTGGTTCTGGAGTCTTGGAAGTCTGAGATCCAGCTGTGTCAGGCTCACTTTGTGGCTCCTGGGTGGGGCTTCACACTGTGTCCTCACAAGTCTTCCCCAGTGCCCCTCTTTCATAAGGACACTAATCTCATTCAGGAGGGCCCCATCCTGGTGACCCTATCACCTCCCAAAGACCCCAACCCCTGACGTGCGTCTTGGGGGTTAGGATCTCAACAGATGAACAGGAGTTTTAATTGGTCCTTATAGCAACCTGGACACCACGACTGGAGGAAGTGCCCCAACGTGTCACCCCACCTGGCCTCGCAGGATGGGAAGGTCTCCCCTGGGCTACGCCTTTTCAGTCCGTCTCACTCTGACCTGGAAAATGTTGAGAGCATCTCCAAAAATCTCTAACAAGAGCCACCTTTGTACAAAGGGAAGCTCAGGCGCAGAGCGCCGGGCAGCTCCAGGGAGCGCTGCCAGCATTGTGTAATGACGTTTTCATCGCACTCAATTTTATCTTTTATTTATGGCGAGTAATGCTGGCTTTCCTTGTGTCCTGCTGATAAAAATTCCCTTCTAAACTAATTTACTTAAGTCAAGAAAGTAACCCATATTAAAATATGAAATAAATCATCATAAAGATGGTTTGGAGCCTTGGCAAAGTCACTACGCTGGTTTGTCCATGACCAAAGACTGCAAATGAGGGTCTGGAGAGCACTGAAGTAGGCAAGGGAGAAGGAAGAGGAGGAAGGAGGCACAGGGAGTGAGGGCTACACTTCAATGACAGTGTCCCAATGAACGATGGCAGTGTCACCCCAAGAATATGTATCAGGAGGGAGGAACCATGTCATTCTTGAAAATAACCTTCAGAATCTGCAAGAAACTAACAAGACATACGTGGTATATTTTGGCAAATTAGATGTAGAGAACTTCAAAAACCAAAGTCAGTAATCCAGTTCTGGTGACTTTTACTGCACGAGGGGACAGGGTCAAGCGGGATGGGAAGGAAGACCTTCCTCTCCACGTGGTGGGTGCTAGGACCTGGTCTCATTTCTCTTTCATTGGATCCAACTGCTGGGCTGTGGAAGGAAGACAGACCAACTCGGTACTAGTAGCTCCGTCCTCCCCCTCTGCTCGATTGTGTGGTCCCACCTGACCCTGCACGCACTGAACCCTCAGGCCTGACCTTGAAGGCCTCATTGGTGAGCGCTGATTATTTCTGTCCACTCAGCATTGGGTCTCTGCCTTAGAGTTAGTTACATCCCTTGATTCTCCTTTGGGGGGCCCACCCATCCTGTGTGCGGTTCCGGTGGGACCTCAGGAACCCTGGCATCTGGGACTTCCAGGTAGGCTTGTGACCCAGAGCCGGCCAATCAGTATTGTCCATTTGCTTGGCTGTAATACTGCACGGGTTCAGGGCTGGATATGCAACCAGGTTGGACAAATCAGTCTCAGAACTTCAGCTGGAACACTTGAGAAGGAAATTCTCCATCCACCAGGATAGTTGCTAAGAGAGGAAATATACCTAAAGCTACTGATCAGCACCATGAGGAAAGACCCTGCCTGAGGATGAACCCAACGTAGAGGACAGTAAGGGTGGAGAGAGTCTGGGTTGGAGCCCCCATGTGTCCTTTGAGGTTCTGCATCCCTCTGGGCCTGGAATCAGCACTGTCCCTAGATTACTTACAATAACTCACCATTGCTTTTTGTTTAAACTTATTTGGGAATCTGCCAGTTTCAACTAGAAAATCCTGGCTAGAACACTCTCTGTTCTCCATGTCCAGACTAAGCTGTGTGAAAAGAAAACACACAGTTTACAGGAGCCAGCAGCAGGTAAATGGTGAGGAGTTTAGACATTGTATTGCCCTGGGGCCAACTCAGCAAAACTTATATGAATATCATCCCTGTCTTACAGATGAAAAAACTGTACAGTAACTGATCTGCTATTACACAGCTATTGGGTGGCAGAGTTTAAATTCAAATTTAGCTCTCTCATTCCAGGCTCACAGTTCACAACCATTAGGCAGACTTGAACCCATATCCTGCATCTTTAACTGTTCTCACTTTCTTCTGAGCATCGTTGATAAGTCTTTCCCTCTCCACTATTGAGTTCCCGTATTCCCATAATCCCCAACCAAAGTTCACCGGAGGAGATGACCTCGTGTCTCTTCTGCAGAGGACACCAGTGCGTGGTCTTCTTTCCCTCATTCCTCCATCTTCCTGTGCTGCCTCTGCCATCAAATGTGCGTCTAAGAGGAGTCACATGTTTCTGAGCCTCAGCCAGGTGCATGGCTTGGCCACTGTGTTTATTTTTCATCAACTTTTTCCAAGTCAGCAGATGTGCCACTGTTACTTCCAGGCTGTGAGTCTTGCTTACTTTTTTGATTCAAAACTCAGCTGTTAAGAATATTGCAATTGATCTCAGCTAAGTATCCCCTGAAGTTGCCCCTTCATGTGCTTTATGACTCTTTTGAAGATTGTTTTCCCTTAAATTTAGGGGATTTAAGGGACAGTAACATAATACGTGATGTAGTTTTCCATCATCCTTTTATTTCTTCCTCCCACCCACTCTGATCAGAGGAAGCTCTGGACATGCTGAGAAGCAAGACAGTGAAGTGCTTTTCCATGGTACCCCAAGTCTTAGCTTGTGTACCCCATCATCACATAGCTCATTCTTAAACACACCAGAGGCAGTACCAGGCTGCAAATTCCTTCCCTTAAAGAACCATAAATTATAAATAAAATTCCCAGGAAAATGAGATGACTGCAGTGGTTTTGCCGACTACATGTGTTCAAGGCCTAAAAGAAATTGTGTGATTCCAAAAAAAACTCTGACAGTAAATCGTTCAAGAGACTCCTCAAGTTTCTTTCTGTGTTTTCTGTTGTGAACACGGACCACTACAGGATTCTGTTCCTGCAGTTCTGGCAACAGACCACACCGTCCCCTCAGAAACACCCCTCCCCAATCCATGTCCATGTATCCACTGATGCCCAAGGGCCAGGCTTGGCACTTTGGACTAGCTGATCAGAGTGTCACATCCCCTTTGAGATAGGCAGAGTAATAGTCCCCTCAAAAACATCCATGCCCTAATCTCAAAATTTGAGAGTATGTTGCCTACTGTACCAAAAGGGACTTTCCCCTTGTAATTAAAGATCTTGAGATAGGGAATTATATGAGGTTACTCAGGAGGACTCAATGTCAGCATGAATGTCTGTATAAAAGAAAGGCAAAGTCAGGTCATAGAAGGAGATGCAACTATGGAAGCACAGGTCGGAAGGATGTGGGGCCATGAGCCAAGGAATACAGGCAGCCTCTGCAACTGGCAAAGCCATGGAAAGAGCTCCTCTTCTATATTCTCCAGAATGAACAGAATCCTGCCAACCTGTTTAGTAGGCTTCTGGCCTCCAGATTAAATGATAGTTATTTATGTTATTCTAACCACTGTTGGTGATAATTTATTACAGCAGCTATAGGAAATTAATACAACCTTAAATATGGTCGTTGGTTCAGGGATGGGTCCCAGAGCCAAACCATACCAGTTAAAACCAACAAGATTCAATTTTGCGACTTTGAAGAGATGATTGTCTCTCCCTCTCCCTCTCTCTCTCTTCCTCTCTCCCTCTCTCTCTCTTCCTCTCTCTCTCTCTCTCTCTCTCTCT